CTAAAGGTGGAAAGAAATACTTCATGACTCTGATTGATGATTCCACTAGATTCTGCTATGTGTATTTGTTAAATACTAAGGATGAGGCTCTACACTACTTTAAATTCTATAAGGCTGAAGTTGAGAACCAATTTGAGAAGAAAATAAAATGAGTCCGGTCTGATCGTGGTGGAGAGTACTTTTCTAATGAGTTCGATTTATTCTATGCGGAACATGGTATTATTCATGAGAGGACACCTCCCTACCCACCCCAGTCAAATGGGGTTGCCAAACGGAAAAACCGTACTCTAACTGATTTGGTTAACGCCATGTTAGATACATCGGGTTTATCCAAGGCATGGTGGGGGGAGGCTGTATTGACATCCTGTCATGTCCTGAATAAAGTTCCCACAAAGGATAATGAGACTACTCCCTATGAGCAATGGGAAAAGAAAAGAACTAAACTCTCTTACTTGCGCACTTGGGGCTGTCTGGCGAAAGTCAACGTGCCGATAATCAAAAAGCGCAAGTTGGGACCAAAGACCGTGGACTGTGTTTTTCTTGACTATGACAAGCATAGTGTTGGCTATAGATTTCTAGTGGTAAAATCTGAGGTACCTGATCAGAAGGTCGGTACAATTATAGAGTCCAGGGATGCTACATTCTTTGAGGATATTTTCCCCATGAGAGATATGCAAAGCAATTCTAGACTGGAATCTGATGAGACTCCTGAACCTGCTATTCCGATGGAATATTATGAACATAAAAGTGATAAGAGTTTCACGGAGGATGACGAGGAAGCTCCTGTTAGGAGCAAGAGACAGAGGACTGCAAAGTCCTTTGGTGATGATTTCCTCGTGTACCACGTGGATGATGATACTCCCAGCTCCATTTCAGAAGCTTATGCATCTCCGGATGCTGACTACTGGAAGGATGCGGTCTGTAGTGAGATGGATTCCATCTTGGCTAACGGGACATGGGAGATCACTGATCGTCCTTATGGTTGTCGACCATTAGGATGTAAGTGGGTGTTCAAAAGGAAGCTTAGGCCCGATGGTACTGTTGAGAAGTACAAGGCTAGGCTTGTGGCCAAGGGTTATACCCAGAAAGAAGAAGAGGATTTCTTTGACACTTATTCACCTGTGGCTAGACTGACAACCATTCGAGTGTTACTCGCTTTGGCTACCTCGCATGGTCTTCTCATTCATCAGATGGACGTTAAGACGGCTTTCCTTAACGGAGAGCTAGACGAGGAAATTTACATGCAACAGCCGGATGGCTTTGTAGTAAATGGTCAGGAAGGAAAGGTGTGTAAGCTAGTGAAATCTTTGTATGACCTGAAACAAGCGCCTAAGCAATGGCATGAGAAGTTCAACACTACTCTGACATCTGCTGGCTTTGTTGTGAACGAAGCTGACAAATGTGTATACTATCGCTATGGTGGGGGCGAAGGAGTTATACTGTGTCTGTATGTCGATGACATACTGATATTTGGGACCCACCTCAAGGTCATTGAGGAGGTCAAGTCTTTTCTATCTCACAACTTTGAGATGAAGGACCTGGGTGTGGCTGATGTTATCCTGAACATCAAGCTACTGAGAAATTCTGAGGGTGGAATTACACTTTTGCAATCCCACTATGTTGAGAAGATTTTGAGCCGTTTTGGATATTCGGACTGCAAACCTTCTGCAACACCATATGATCCTAGCGTGCGGATTCGAAAATTCGAAGGCACGACTGTAGATCAATTGCGATATTCTCAAGTGGTTGGTTCACTGATGTACCTAGCATGTGCTACTCGTCCTGACATCTCATTTGCTGTGTGCAAACTGAGCCGGTTTGTTTCCAATCCGGGAGATGTGCATTGGCATGCTGTTGAGCGAGTGATGCGCTATTTGCAAGGTACTGCGAACTATGGAATTCACTATTCTGGGTACCCGATGGTACTTGAGGGGTATAGTGATTCGAATTGGATATCTGATGCTGATGAGATGAAAGCCACAAGTGGACATGTCTTCACACTTGGTGGTGGTGCTGTTTCCTGGAAGTCTTGCAAGTAGACGATCTTAACCAGATCGACTATGGAAGCAGAACTCACAGCATTAGACACATCATGCGTCGAAGCAGAATGGCTTCGAGAGCTTTTGATGGATTTGCCGGTGGTTGATAAACCAGTGCCGGCTGTCCTTATGAACTATGACAATCAAATAGTGATTGCCAAGGCTAAGAGTTCAAAGGACAACATGAAATCCACAAAGCACATAAAGAGAAGATTGAAATCTGTCAGAAAATCAAGAAACTTCGGAGTAATAGCGTTGGATTATATCCAGTCCAGACGGCTAAGAACCTAGCAGACCCTTTTACGAAAGGGCTATCATGGATTGTGATAGAAAATTCATCGAGGGATATGGGTATGAGACCCACGTAAGTTGCCATGGGGGTAACCCAACCTATGTAATCGGAGATCCCGTGAATTAGGACCTGGGAAAACAATCCAGCGGTCAACTGAGGAGAGCATCCTTAATTAACCCACTCCGTTGGAGATGCACAATACTCTCAATTATATAAGGCAGGCTGACTTTTGTCTTAATGTGTTCCAAAGCTTGTGTAAGCAAGATGCTAACCTACAGAGCATTCTTTGGAGGAACACACCTATGTGAGCCCGACTGCCGGTCACAGTCTATGAGATTGGGAAATATCTATTAAGCTCATGAGAAGGTACGGAGTATGACTAATAAGCTCCATCCGTGGGGTTTAGCCTTCGGCAGCCATGTATCAGCTGACAATAGGCGAAACTTTTGCACGCCAAACTGACAATTCAAGGCATAGTACATTGTTCAGTTGTGAAGAAGTCTAATCCTTTTGCTCTAGGTGGAAGTTCAACTCTCCACTGAAAATACTGGTATATCAAACATTGTTTGGAACAGTTGACAAACTTATGTGCCTCGAGATCTGGTGGGGGATTGTTGGATTATGGATGGGATTAGGCCCATATAAGACACTAACCCCTGGTTAATCTTGAGGCCCGTGTATGAGATGGCAGGTGGTGGGAAGTTTAGTCCCACCTTGCTAGTTGAGGAAAGTTGAGACCCCTTTATAAGGGCTGCTCTACCACTTGCCATTGGGAGCTTGGGAAGAGGAGTGGTACACGCGCGCTCCTCCTCGTCCGCCGCCCACCTTGCCACGCCTCGCCTCGTCACGGCGCGCGTGCGCCGCGGGTTGCGGGTTGCGGGAATGAGCCGAGCCGAAGCTTATTTTTGCCGCTCAGGAATGAATTAATTAATCAGGGATTAATTAACGAGTCGCTAACATGTGGGCCACTGTCCAAGACGTTGGACTGTGGGCTACCCCTTGCCGGGGGTGCGACCCTTGCCGGGACCCTCGTTGCCGTGATTCGTTGACCCCTTGCCGGGAGTGGGCCGACTCGGTCGTGGGCCTCCGCAAGGCCCACGACTTTCTTCCTTACGGACTATATAAGAAGGCTCTGGCCAGTGAAGTAACCTAGTTCGGTTCACTAACTCCCTCTCGCGTGACCTAGCCGTCATCTACTGTTTCTCACTCTGTGCTGCCTCTGGCGATCCCATCCCGACGACCGCGTGCACGGCTGGTCGGGAGAGCAGGTGCCTCCGGAACCCTGTAGTTCGAGATCCTGCCCGGGAGAACGGCAATAAGGTTTTTGGGGAGCGTCTCGACGCGACTGCTCCCGATCCGTCCCCAACTATGTTCGCCTCTGCTTCCACTACTTCCTCTGCATCGACATCATGGCCGACGACGCCGCCGCTAAGAAGAAGGCCACGGACGACGCCGAGGCTCCTGCTGCAGCCGCCGCGTTGGCCTGGCCAACCGGAGGGTATATGATCTGTTCATCCCTCGTTTACTCATACTTATGCTAGCCGTATATGTGCTGCTCATAGAAGGTTCGATTCTATGTTCTGTACGTGCTAGTATGCTTAGGTATTGCTATGAGATGCATACCTTTTATGCCATGCTTACTGCTTACTCGTGGATAAGTCTAATCGGAAAAGTGCTAATATTTTCAACAGTAGTTACAACAGAATATCTCATGCACCTACCTATCCTTGAGAAGTACTCAACCTCCTGTACGTATTCTGTACGTGACACATACGGGACACAATCATGTGTTTAACAGAGTGTTCATTCAAAACATGCATTTATACTTTTCTGTTGGACTTACGGGAAAAAAGAGCCACTGTCGACCTATCAATTAATTAAATTAAAGCACAACGTAGATTTGTCGTTAGTTGCTCGTCACTGATTTAGATCATGGTATTCACTACATATTTAATTCATGGCCACAATTTGTTAGTATTTGTTTTTTATAGGCCTCCCACTCCCATAGGGGGAGCTGAATTCAACAAACCACAAGCTAGCCTGTCCTTAATTATCAGGTTCAACAAACCACTTGACTTTTGTTTGGTAAAACAACTTGTGATTCGCAAACAAGAAATAATGCGATGTTCTTTAAAACTTAATGATTGAGATGTGATTGCTAAAATAACTGGCAAGTGGTAATCCTAGACCATTTTACCGTGTTGTCGAACGAGTCAAGTCGTTGTGTACGTATGCAAATGATAAACTAACTTGGTTTCCATCCATGAATAGTTGAAGTGGTACATTGACTTCCAGCTGCCTTAAGTACTTGCCATCTCGACACAACATTACTGTGAAGCTATCTTCATCTTTCGACTACCCGGTGCTATTGTAAAAGGTGTGTTACTTTCTTCAAAGTTTATGCTTAATAACGAGCTCTCTTTCCTTCAGTTGATTGATTTTTTTACTGTCTTTTCTGTTTTTTTTACAGAAATTTCTTCCATTGATCTTAAATATGGTGTGGTTCGGTTTAATGATTTCCCCTTAATAATAAGTGCCTATTCATTTAATTGTCATCGTTATTGTTCACATGACATCATTGTACTATTCTTCTTTTCCCGTAGTAATAACTAATACCAAAAGATAGATGTCAATCAGTACATCAAACAACTAGTTCATCACAGGCACAGATGGACGAACGCCTCCTGAAAGCAGCGACTGATGGTGATTCCACGTCCATGAAGTACTATGCTTGTCGTAATCCAGGCATCCTTCTCGGAAAGACTTTGCGGATGAACACTTGCCTTCACATATCCTCCATCCATGGTCACCAGAGATTCTCCGCGGATGTGGTGGCACTGGAGGAGTCTCTCCTCACCGCTGTAAACTTAGATTGGGAGACGCCACTTCTTGCGGCGGTGAGAAATGGTCACGTCTCTTTGGCTTCTTTTTTACTCGGAAGCTGCCATCAGCTAGGAATGGGGCAAGCAATCTTAAAGCAAGACAAATATGGATTTAACGCACTACACCATGCCATTCGCAATGGCCATGAGGAGCTTGCGCTGGAGTTGATTACAGCAGAGCCTTCTCTGTCGCGAGCTGTGAGCGAATGCAACGAGTCACCCATGTTCTTCGCCTTGACAAGGAATTTTACGCGTGTGTATGAGCAGCTAGTTCAAGATCCTCTTTCTTCTTATACGGGAGGACTACACGATCGCAATTGCCTACATGCCGCAGTCAGAAATGGGAATCCAGGTGAGGCTTAATTAATACGTGGAGTGCAAATTACAGTCACTAAACATCAACTTAATTGTTGCAATATCGTTTCACCATGTTAACAATCATTTCTTGATAATTTGTCTTCAGAAATGGCAAAGCATATTCTGAGAAACTATCCTGGACTAATGATCACTGAAGACATCAATAAAGTTACTCCAACAAGACATGCTGTACTTTTTGACAAGATTGACATGTTACGAGTAATACTGTTACATGATCCAACCAAAGGATACGAAATAAACAGTATGGGTGATCCTCTCCTTGCTGCTGCCGCATATCGAGGTCGAATTAATGCTGCTCGAGAGCTTCTGAAACACTGTCCTGATGCTCCTTATCGCCAAGAAAATGGTGGGACATTGCTTCATAGAGCTGTATGGGATAACCAAATAAAGTTCGTTAAATTTGTCCTGACGACACCGCTACTTCGCAAACTCATCAACATGCAAGACAAGACTGGAAAAACCGCTCTACATTATGCAGTCCGGAAGTGTGATCCGGAACTAGTTAGTATTTTACTATCTCACGAGGATATAGATGCGACAGTGCTTGACAACATCGGTGTTTCAGCGGCTTGGGAACTGAAGTACGTCATGGAGAATGCCAAGACTTTAAACTGGGTACGCACATATATTAGACCTATGTTTTCAAGTCTAGTTAACCATTCATTGTTCAAATAAAACTGTTGGCTTAAATACACATATACATATCGATACTTGACATTTCATGGCTCTGAAATTTATTTATGTATATGTTCTTTAATAGTATGCCTTGATTGTTAATCCTGGAGATCTTATCCTAGCTTGTGGTCGGATGAAGGAACATTCTTGCTCCTTGTTTCCTGTGTTTGTTACTTACAATGACTACTCACCCCAGGCTTTTAGCAAAGGTTAATCGATCATATAAGTACTGGAGTCATATTTGGCCATATAATCATCATCTTAAGAGATTGTTATGTTTAGAAAAATGACCCACCCCCAGGACATTTTTTACTGGCTGTGCTTTATTTGTGCGTAAATCAGTCTACCACCCGCTAGCGCCCAAGAATATAAATCACTTTGCTATACTACCAAGCTATTGCTTGTCAATGTCCTCTTTGGTCATTTTTATTCATATCCTTGCCAATTACTCCCTCCGTCCCATAATATAGGATGTTTTTTGACACTAGTGTAGTGTCAAAAAAGGTCTTACATTATGGGACGGAGGGAGTAGTTGTTAAATGCGTGAGAGTTTTGCTAGATACTCCCTCTGCTAATATAAGACTTTTTAGACCACTACTTTAGTGATCTAGAAACGAAAAGTCTTATATTAGTTTACATAGGGAGTACACTGTAATTATCTGGACACAGTTTTACTACACATTTAATGCCGAAGTCCAAGCCTATTACCCAATTGTTGCTCCGGGCTGTAGAGCATGCCCGCTTGTGCTTCCTCCCCCTTTTTCTGGGAAAATCTTTCCCTGCTATAAGAAAATTCATGACAATATAAACATGAACCTAGATAAATTAATGTCCACAATACTAGTACACATGCCCGTCACTGACAGGCCAAATATGCCATACACGACCAGTTACTCAGCCAATGTCTAGTCGCCGACGTCCGTAACACCCAAGGCTACCCACAGGCTTCAAGGTCTCGGACTCCAGGCCGAGCCGGATCAAGAAAGACAACCGATGTTGTTTCTGGCAACCTAGCAACCTCACCGGTGCTGCTGCTCTACGGTGCAGAAATGTATGATTTATTGCTGTTCTTCACTTAATATAATAATAAGTGTGATTATTTCATTTATCAGCTCAAGTAGACACAGCTTAGTTTGGCATCAAAAACTTGTAGACATATAGAATTATTATCTTATGAGCTGCCTTAATACCTTCATTCGAATTCATGCAGAATGAAGTCTTGATGCTTATGCTAAAAGCAGATGCCCAAAATGCCACATCTCTCTATAATCTTCACGGGAAAGCCAAGCAACAAGCAATCGATGCTGGAAGGAAGGATGCAAAGTCACTAACTAAGACATACACAACAAACATTTCACTAGTGGCCATTCTCATAACAACAATCACCTTTGCTGCTGCTTTCACCCTGCCTGGAGGATACAGCAGTGTTGATGGAAGCGAGGGACTTCCGATCATGTCTCAGAAGGTTGCATTTCAAGCATTCTTGATCTCTGACACCTTAGCAATGTGCTCCTCATTTGCCGTTGCTTTCATATGTGTCATAGCAAGGTGGGAGGATTATGAGTTCTTGATTTATTACACGTCTTTCACTAAGAAGCTCATGTGGTTTGCATACGTGGCAACTACAACGGCTTTTTCAACTGGTTTATACACGGTGTTAGCGTCTCGGCTCCATTGGTTGGCCACTGCAATTTCCGTTCTGGTAGCTTTATTGCCCATTCTAACCAAGCTTCTTGGCGAATGGCCTATTTTGAAGCTCAGATTCCGGTTGGGAAAAACTTTCAACTCCGATCTCTTGGACATGGTGTGATCTCAACAATTTGTCTGATTGTTCTGATTTCAGACAATATTTTGTATTTTATATGTAATCAACATTTTTTTTGGCTAGTCATTTTGTATTGCCGACTCGCGGCAAGGAAATAGTGCACTAGTATTCTTGTATACCTTTGAAATCTCGGACAAAATATTAATTGTGATATTATTCTTATGATGCATTGATTCAATCTCTCTAGAGATGATTCGTGACATCTGCAATGACAATGGTCATGTATCATTAGAATATGAAAGATGAGAGTTTGTTTTTTGTTGCTGATGATGAAATATGTGAGTCGCCACAGGAACCATAACGAAGATGCTAAAAAAAGTTCCCCAAAAAGTTCTTTTCTCTGAATAACTTGATACTCCCTCTAAATAACTTTAGTGATCTAAACGATCTTACATTTTTTTACGGAGGGGGTACTGTTTATCACTACCAACTACATCTCCGGTGGTACAAGTTGGAGCTGTCCTACGAAACAACAAGGGTGAAGCTGTCGCTGGGGCGGGAAAACCTTTGAGCAGCGTTCTCAACGCTGGATCAGCAGAGGCGCTTGCACTTTTGAATGGTCTAGAGCTTGCCGAGCAGCTGGGATGCACCAACGTGACTCTTGAATCAGATTCACTAGAGCTAATACAAGCATGCAAGGGAGAATCAGAAATCTTTAGCCCTTACATAGCTATACTGGCAGACATTTTTGCTCAAGCTAGGATGATCAGTGGAATTTCTTTTGCTCACTGTCCGAGGGAAGCCAATCGGGTAGCACACCATCTTGCAAAATATGCCTTTGATTCAAACACTGATGTTTTTTGGGATGGAAATCCACCCAGTTTCATTATGCCTTTTGTAATTGCAGATGTAACACTGTTGGCTAAGAAATAAAGATCGAGAGGCTTTCCCTTCAAAAAAAAAAAAACTACATCTCCGGTGGTACAAGTTGGGTGTTGATACAGTTGGTCCATCTTACAACACTGGGACATCATATATCAAGCCAAGGATGCAAATAACATACACAGAAAAATTTGATATAGGTCTTGCAACCGAATAACAGATCTTGGAGTTTACCAACTACAAGTTCCTACTGAGTGCCCATGCTATCAGAACAACTTAATCGTTCCAAAGACGCAATGAGCAGTCACTCATCAATCTGTAATACAGTTTCAATTTTTTCCTTAACATGCAAGCTCATCCACCTTTTTTTGACACAAGTGTCATGAAATGGATTTAAAACCAGAACAACATATCTGGGGAAGTTAAGGTGGTTAAAAGTATGAAACCCTAAAAATTTCGAAGCGCAGACAACTCCATTTATTTTTCTTTTTAATTGGATCTTATTTGCTGGATACCTTGGGCTACAAAAAAGAAAAGAGAGATGTGCACCGACCGTTGTTGTAGTGTAGGTGTCGCACCATGATGCAACCGCCCGAACACCCCTCTGATCGCTTGCCTCGTAGAAGGCCGGGGCACCTGGACAGAGCGACCGGTGATCAGGGTAACCACTAACCAGACGTTTCTAATTTGGAAACTGCTAGGGATCAAACCGTTGGATGAAACGGCATATACGATCGCTGATGAGCAGGTGGCCGCCCTCCACGCTATAATTAAGCCACAATTGGGCATTTTTTGAAGGACTTTTTTCTCATTTTTTTCACTGTTTTTCAGTTTTCTTCTTATTTTTTTTCTATTTTTAGTTTCTAATTCATGAACATTTTTTGTAAATTTGAGAATACTTTTTGAATTCAAGAACATTTGTTGAAGTAGAATATTTTTAAATTTTGTTAACATTTTTCATATTCCACGAGCATGGTTTTGAGTACACAATTTGTTTTCTAAATTGACGATCATTTTTAGAAAAAATTCACATTTGTAAAATTTACGAATTTTTTTTAAGATTCTGAACTTTTTTTAAAATTCATGAATAATTTTTGAATTTATGAACATTTTCTTAATTCATGAATGTTGTGAATTTGCGAACATTTTTTCATATTCATGATTTTTAATGATTCATGAACATATATCCAATTTTATTAAACGTTTTTCGCATTTCATAAACATTTTTAAAATTGCAAGACATATTTGGTTTTGAGAACATATTTTAATTCACATATTTCTTCAAGTCAGGAATATTATATAAATTAAAATTTAAATAAATAAATAAATAAATAAATATATGAAGAAATAATAGAAATAACTCATACTCTTCAGGTGGGAGTTTCCCCTTGCTCCGGGCCCAGCTCATAGGGACTCGTGCTTGACGAACACGGGCATCTTGCTTGCAACAGGGGACACATATCAGAGCCGACCATTTGGTGAAAGAAAAGGAGGCATGGAGCGATGGACGAGTCTATGTCTCGCTTCAAGAGAGACAAGAGCACGCGCCGCCTGACGGAAGCTTCAAATGGGACGACCCAGTTAACATAAATCTGATATTTCTTAGGTTTGCTTGTTTATATACAGGTTTCTATTGTTATTTTTATTGCTGGTTTCTATATTTTCTAAAATATTATCAATTCATATATTCCAAAAAATTGATATACTTAATTATTTAAAATATTGATCGTGAATTTCAAAATATTAATGCAGGGGAAAAATTGTCAATATAATAAAAGAATGTCAATAGTGTAAAAATTGTTTTGTCAAACTGAAACAAATTTCACGCATATCCAAAAACAATTTGCATGACATTTCACAAATATTTTTACGCAATGCAAAAAAACAATTTAATGAAATTTAAAAATGTGTTATGCCATTTGAAATAGTAAATTATATTTATAAAAAATATTAATCATGTATTTTGAAAATGTTAAACGTGTATACAAATTTGTTTGTGAATACCAAAAATGTACAGTGTGTATGAAAAAATAAACATTCGAAACATAGATTTGAAATTTTTTGGGTTGCAAGGACGCACCAGCACCTCCCTGAAGAACATGGATACAGGCACGTCCATGCCTCGCTTCACGCGGGAGTGCAGCCTCGCATCAGACCTATTTGTCAGTACTTTAGTCACGACTAAGCCGACCCAGGCGCCTGGGAGCCCACAGGCCACAGGCCACGACCTCATTTAAAAAACAAATCACTTTTTTGTTGCCGTTCTTTGCTTCCTATTTTCTACTTTTGTTTGTACTTCTAAATATTTAGACGAAAAAATAACTTCTAATATTTTAAAATGTTAAACGCATATATAAAAAATATTTCTCATATATTCCCTCCGTCTGAAAATACTTTTCGTGAAAATGGATAAAAATGAATGTATCTAAAACTAAGATACATCTAGATACATTTATTTTACTGACAAGTATTTCCAGACAGAGGGAGTATAGAAAAATATATAATGTGTATGAAAACATTGATCATGTATTTAAAAAAAATGTTAATTCAGCATTTGTAAAATGTTACTCAAGAGGTAGAAAAATGTTAATCAAGTATTTGAAAAATATTAAATATGTATAGAAAAAAGTTTTCTATGTATAAAAAAATGTACAATATGTATGAAAAGAATGTTGATAATGTATTTAAAAATGTTAAATATGTATAAAAAATGTCGACCATATTTTTTTGAAATGTTAAACATGTATAAAAATGTTATCATGATTTAAAAATGTATTTAATAATAGTAAACATTTTCTTACACACAATTTACATTTGTGTGTACATCACGAACATTTTTATATAAATGTTTAACATTTTCCAATTACGAAATTAACATTAATAAAATTATGTTATACTGTGTTACTTTTACTTAATCTACATTGTACATTTTTTATATACATGATGAACATTCGTATATACATGTTTAACATTTTACAAAACATGATGAACATTTTTATATACATGTTTAATATTTTTAAAAACATGATAAACATTTATTCATATGAACAAAAGATAGACAAAGAAAAGCAACAAAAACATAAAAAATAAATAAAAGAAATCAAAAGAAGAAAGAAAAAGGATAAAAAATAAATCAAAGATGCAGGCAAGGGGTCAAAAGAGGATT